CTCTCGTAAACTTGACCTCTCCTCCCACATCTCCTCCTCCTCTCCCTCTATCCTTCTCCATCTTCCACTCCACATACAGTTCTGTCCTGTCCTGTCCTGTTCTGTCCTGTCCTGTCCTGTCCTGTCCTGTCCTGTCCTGTCCTGTCCTGTCCTGTCCTGTCCTGTCCTGTCCTGTCCTGTCCTGTCCTGACCTCCCTCTCAATTCCGCTCTCGACATCTCGCCAGCATCATCGCTCCTTCTTTCGTTTTCCTCCTCTCACGATTATTTCAGAGGTCTGGCTTCGTAGGATGGATCGTAACATGAAGACTATCCGCCCCATCCTTTCCAAGGTTGAGCTCTTCCTCCCGCTCACCCTTTCCCTTCTTTCTTCTTTCCCACCCCAGTGCTCTGCTCTGCTCTGCTTTCCTCCTTCTTCCCTGCTCTTCTCCCCTCCTGCTCTCCTTTACTGCTCTTGACACCTACGGCAGGTGTATGGAGAGGAGAACGTCACGCTCTGGACGGCCAGGTGGAGGGGCTTCTTCCTCGCATGCTCGGAGCTTTTCAAGTAAGAGGAGGAGGGAAAGGAAAGAGCGCGAAGAACGAGGGAGAGGGAGGGAGGGAGGGAGGGAGGGAGGGAGGGAGGGAAACGACGACGACGACAAGAATGGAGGGGAGGGGAGGGAAAAAAAGTGACGGGGGGAGAGAGGAGGGAAGGAAAAGAATTCGTGAAGGAGAGGAGGAGGACAGCAGGACAAGATACCAAGAGTCTTCTCCTCTCCTCACCATCACGAAAACTTCATCCTTATCTCCTTACACATGTTGTTGCAGCTACAACCGCGGCAACGAGTGGTACGTCAGCCACTATCTCTTTGAGAAGCCATCGAACATGTAAGTAGAGAGGAACAAGGGATAGACATCGGCCCGTCCTTGTCTTCGTTCCATGTTTCTCTTGCATCTCATGATAAGAAAACAACAACATGTCATCTCTTCTGCTCCACGTCCTGCCTGACCTTCAAACTCTCCTCCTTTCACAAGCTCGTCTCCTGCTTTTCTAGTGCAGCAATTTCCCTCCTTGCTCGAAAGGCATCCAACAGCCTCCTGCCGGAACGAAACTCGACGATCCTGCCTGGCAGTACTCCACGACCTGTACAGGAGGTGAGAAGGAGAAGAGTGGAAGAAGAGCGAGGAGAAGAGAGTCAGTGGAGAGAGCATGGAAGAGGACAGCAGAGATGTCTCGTACCTCCAGCCATTGTTGTTTCCTTCCACCGGCTTGTCGAGGACGTGCACTTTTCCCTTGAGCACAGCTCCATTGCGAGGCCAGTCGGGTTTTGACCCAGCCTTGCCTCCTCGTGGGTCATCTCGCCAGAACATTCCAGAGCAGCTACCGGCTGCTCGACGTGTCAGCTGAACAAAGAGTTGAAGGGCTTGTTTTCCTCTTCTCCCTCCTTGCTACTCTTTCCTCTCATCTCCCTCGCCTCACTTCATTCTGAACTACTTGCTCACCCCCCCCCTACTCTCTCTCTCTCTCTCT